TCGTCCGAGGCGCCGTGGCAGCGCCAGTGCAACGAGAAGCGCCGCAGCTCCTGCGCTTCAAAGAAACCGGTGAAGCCGGGTTTTCAACAAAACATGAAAAGACAAGAAGAAAAAGGTGTTTGTTCAGTTGTTCTATACTTTTTTGTTATGTTAAATTGTTTCCTAAGCCTGGTTTTGGTGGGTTTGAGAGGCATGATCCAGGCATCCCACTGGGATGTGAGATGAAAATGTCATGTTTGGGAGATCTCTTGTGAACATTGCCCCAATTTAGGTTATATAGCATAGGTATTCAGCTCCGCTCATAGATTTGGGCCCTAGGATGTCTTCCCAACCATTGATTTGATTGTCTTTTACCGAACCAAGCTGTTTTACTGAGGATAGAATCTACAAAACTTGGATGTGCTCACTCGGAAAAAGGAAACATCTTCCCCAGTTTCAGGGATTTACCCAAAAACCGGGAACATTGAAACTTCCATCCAGAACAACCGCTCCCCACTCGGCGCAGCTGCTCACAACAGCTTCGCTTGAACCCGCTCACTCGCTCGATGGGAGCCGATCAGGCCAGGGGTGGTGAAAGGGGGGGGTCAATGGATTGGCATAGATGGCATATATTCCAGTCCCATGGAGCCTATGGCATTGTTCGTTCTGATGCTTTCGATGTTTTTCGAAGCAGCTTGGCCACGCCACCGGCCTCCGGCACCTCGAAGACCTTCCGCGCTTCGAGCCCCGCGTGCTCGTTGCCTTGGGGGACACGTCGCGTGAACGCGCGGAGGCGAGTCTGCGCAGCCTTCGTGTCCGGTGGCGCGTCGTGCGACACGAGACCGACGTGGACACGCCGTGCCACGAACGAGTGACGAGTGGAGCAGCTGTGTCGGTCTGATGGATTGAAAAGGGCTGGATTGAAGTCATCCGAGTCTGCGCAGTACCATGACATCCAGGTACCAAGAGGGCATGTCTGGGAGTGTAGCTGCTCTAGTCCGCCAGGCATGCTGAAGCATCCCTGGAAGCTTGTCAACAGCATAAGAAGCTGTTCCCCCAAACAAAAGATTTTTTTTAAAAAAAATATTAATAATAAACACACCCAACATGATTCGTATATGACCCCAATTTACCCCAACACAAGCTTGGCGTTGGACAACCGTGGGAACAACCATGCTTGGGCGCTTGGCGTTTGGACGAAAATACCGGTCGACCTTTGTGCCGCCCGGTCCTACTTCGTGATGCATGATCAGATTCGCTCAAACCAACCTCCGCCCAAATGAATCGCCCCCTCCAGTTGCACCTTGCCCCAGAAAAACCAGCTGTCACTCCCGCCTTCTCTGTTACCCTCTAGCCCAGCAGCGTTTGGGCACTGGGAACTCCTCATTTGAGTCGCCGAAAGCAGCGAGAGACTGTCAAGCAATGTCAAGCAGGTTTTTTGAAGTAAGGATGATATTTTTGGGTGGGGGCACCAATTCTAGCTTTTCATATGTTTAACTGACTGACTGTCAAATATATATAGAGTCTAGAGGGATCTTTGCTTCCTCTTTGGATCAAGCCAGTGCGAAACGCATCCCCGGTGCACTACACCGTAGCCAGCAAATCTTTGGGTTCTATGGAAACGTCGCCAGCCAACCCACCCGAGTATCATCGGGTCGGCGAATTGGGATATCGGGTCGATTTCCCTTTGAGACCTCCCATGACGGCCCGTCTGAATGTGTTATGTTAACATATTCTCCCATTGTTCTAAAGAACCTTCTCATGTTGACGGCACTTCGTCCCATGTTCGTGCACGGTATGTGTCCTGTTTCTCAATCTCCGCACCATAGATCCGCAGGATCCGGAGTCCTCGGAGGTGGGGCAGAAGACGCAAGACGCAGAGGTCGTTGGGGATAGACGGGAGGTCGTTGGATGAGAGGACGAAGCAGGGCTGGGTTAGTTCTACGCGTGGAAGATGTCAGGAAAAAAACATGGAACTTTACAAATGGATTCACTCCTGGATTCAGATCAAGACCCATTAATTGCGATAATCATTTAGGTGGGTGTCCATGGCTTTGGGTGACCGAAATCTTTCTCAAGGTCTCAAACTTCAGGCGGTGGGTCTAAAATCTATCTCTAGCCTACTCAAAACTGTTAGTAACTATGGTTCATTACTGCCATTACCATATTATTTCGCGGAGACCATGCAGTCTCTGAAAAGTAAGCGAATGAGTAGGATGATTGGAGACCAGGGCAGGACACGTGGATCAAAATAAGTGAGTGGCCACACACACACACACTCATATCTCGTGACTGAAAGACAAGCTGGGCAGAATGGAGATGGATTGATTCGGTAGCCCATAACTCAGGCGAGAGAACGAACGAGCACCCAGAAGGCTTAGAGCGGCTGTCAGTGGAACTTGTGTGATTTTGAACGTGGGTGCATCTCTGTGCGTGTGTCTAAAGCAGGGACACCCCAACCTCTGGAATGTGCATCTGCTACTTCCTTTTATAATGGTGTCCATTGCGCCGTTCATCTGGGACATCCTCCCGCCCGTCCCCCCACAAAATGGTCAGTCCTACTCAATCTCCCGGTCTCCTCGCGCTTGAAGAAAAAAAACACCGCGGAACCCTCCGAACACACTGGTCTCCCCTCCTCTCCGCACCGTTGACCCCCCCGGTTTGCTTCAACCGGAGCGGCCGGTCTCGATGTGCTTCACCCGGCGTCGGCAGATGGGGCAACGGCTGCCCAGCTCCAAGGCCTTGCAACGGGCTACCGCGGTCGAGGTGAGGTCCAGGTGCAGGTGATGAAAGCAGCTATTTGAGGAAGGAACGCCGGTGTGATATTCTGATATCATTTAGGACTGTGAAAAAATGGACTTGATTGAACTTGCATTTAACTGTCAACAGCTTCGTGAAGTGCAGTGTTGCTATATACTTTATAGAGAGAGAGAGTATACTATATACCATATACTCCAAGTAACTGGATGAATAGTCTCCGATACCCTATCCAGCTACAAACTTTGTTCTTACCTTCAGTTGATGGGACTTCGTGTACTTCAAGCACCCCAGGTGCCCCCCCCCAAGCCGATTGATTGTTGGGGTGAGATCATGGGATCAGTTAGTCAGGACGACGTCCGGTACACTGACGTCCTTATTATTGAGTCAGATTGTTTCCTTCGGTATGCCGCAGTCCAAAACCCTGGAAGAAGACGCCTGACAAAGGCCTGTGTTCGTGTAATTGGATCTTCAAGCCAAACCCATCTGCTTCCCAGATTGTCAAAGACAAAAAGACTGGATGCAACGTGCAGAGGTCCTGGCCCCAGCGCGCAGCTGCTGCAGGGAATGTCAAAGAGAACGGACCAAGAACGAATTTTCCGAAAGGCCTTCAAAAATCTTCGCTCACCCATCTTTGACAAACACCAAAAAACACAAAAAACACCATTATAAGGATCCTTGGATCCTTCACAAACACTCCCAGAATCCGGCCGATGTTCGCATCGAACAGCCCCAGACATAACATGCCGCTTCCGCTTCCCCGCGCAGACATCCCTCGCCTGCGCCAGGCAGCTCTGGTGGAAGGGGTGGCCACACAAGGTGATGGTGTTCGGCTTGCCGCCGAGGCACACCGCCTCGGTCGTCCGTCGTGTGGCATCGGTCCGACGCGACGCCCAGCGAGCGAACGACATGAGCGTACACCGTTTCAGCGAAATGACCCGCTCGGATGCGGATGTTCGCGATGTTTCTTGATGTGCGCGAAAACCGTTTCAGCTTTCAGCCGCGGAAGGCAGGTTGGCATTGTGGCTGTTCTCCACCAGATGATTCTATACCATCTTCTACCACTTTCTACACTCAAAATACTCAAACACAATGCAGGAAGCTTCAAATATCCAATCTTCACCTCCTTGCAGCCGTAAACCTGCTGACACACAAGATCCCACATTCCTAATAGCGATGGCCTCCAACCTAGAAGCAATGGCCTCCAACTTAATAGCGATGGCCTCCAACCTACTAGCAATGGCCTCCAACCTCTAGCGATGGCCTCAAGCCTCTTAGAAAACCCAAACAAACTCTGCTGCCATCACCCTCATCCTCCGCCCACGTCCTCTCCGCCCGGTGGCGCACTGCGTGCCCTCGGCGCTCCGCGCTTCCAAGCGCCGCTCCGCGTACCTGACCACGTGGACGAGCGAGGTGTCGTTCAGAGACCACAGCCCGCCCGCCCAGAGAAACATAGGAGGATCGAAGAAGATACCAAAAATGATTGTTTTTCCGAAAATCCTCTTCGAAAAAATGAAATGTTACCTGAGGGTCTTACTGAAAATCTTAAAATGAAATGTTGATAGATTCATAGATTGTTTTCCGATAAAAAACAACAAATGATTGACATGGAAAGGCCTCTCTCAGAATAAAGGTAGACCAGAAGATCACTGGACGGATCGCTGAGAAAGAACCGGAAAGTGTGATAAGCTATTTGGGGAAGATGCGATGCTTCAAACACGGGGCTCACAAGCTAGTAGTAACAAAGGGCATCGCTACTAGGAGCAAGGACGCTACTAGTAGCTCCTGGCATCGCTACTAGCAACAAGAATCTACTAGCAACAAAGGGCATCGCCCTTGCTACTACTAGCGATGCCCTTGTTGCCAGTAGCTTCTTGTTCCTAGTAGATCCTAGTAGTAAGGCCAGGAGCTACGTTCGCAGCGTCCTTTCCTTGCTACATGGACCGCGGGTATTGATGCTAAGTCGCAGATGGTCTTCATCTCCTCTTCTTCTTGGCATTTGAGGGATCCACAAGAGTCCGTGGATATCGTTGCTGTAGGCTGTAGGCTGCTGTTCCTCCATGCTTTGAGAATTTCAACTGGCGGCCTAGGCTGGACTCGGTGCATTTTGAAAAAGAGTTATGACCACAACCTGTGAGATCTATCACACGGCCACAAAACAAAATGTGATCATACCTAGATCTTCCGACCATGGAAAATGTATGCCTTTGGGCTGGTTTTCTAGATGAAAAGGCATAAAATTTGCATAGTCGGAAGATCTAGGTATGTGATAACGTATCAGAACAAATGTACGTAAGCAGTCAGAAAAGTACTTTGTGATAAATCATGTGCATCCGCTCCATTCATCATCCACACACACACGGACCTTGCCTCCTGCACACGCGCGCGACGAAGGAGGCAGCACAGTCGGCAGCACGGTTCGTCGGCGTACACAGGAGCACCTGAATGCAGTGCCAACAGCAGTGGCCGCGGGTGACCATCACCGCGGAAGTTCTGGTGGCGTGGACGAGGACATGGTGCAAATGAAGGAAGGTTTCACCACATTCTGGTGTCCCGTATAGGACACTGGGTCGGGTGGCCAGAAGGCATAATGAGGCTTTTCATGCTGGAAAAAGGCATATGATGCTAAACTTGCTGAACACTGAACATGCCTTAAACACGATGAACTCACACACTCAGAGTCGGCTCGCCTGACCAACGAGGCGACCGGAAATCTGCGGTCACCTCTCTTCAGAGGTTTGCATGGATAGCATGCGATACGGGGCGGAGACGGCAGAGAGGAGTCCTTCGGGGCCTCTTTGCACAAAACTGAACGAGAACGTTTTCGCTGCCAGGGGCCTTTGTGGTTTTGTTGAGGCTGGGTGGTTCAACCTAACAGGTCAACGGTTCGGTATCCGGGTTATGACCAGTTCAGCCAGTTAAAAGTTGATAGTGCTCCCTCCAGTGCTGGCAAGGGTAATTGCTTCAGCCAGCTGGGTGCAAATGCTTTGGAGCCAGGGAGTATTCCAAGTGAATGTTGGAGGTCCATTCCTGCTTGGATGAGGTGTTCTATGGTTGTTGTCTCGACAGGCCCAGGTGGCAGTGGAGTAGCCTTCCACAAACCTGGGGTGTCTGGTTGGCCCTCCAGCAAGGTCGAAAGCGCTGGTGGCTGTACCCACCACAAGGTCCGCCAAAGGAGGCAGTTACCAGAAGTGATTTCACATTTGTCACCCAAGCATCGGCATAAGAAATCCTTCAGCAGCCGGGCGATGTGGTTTTTGTGCCCGCTCTATGGTGGCATGCAACCTACGATGAAGAGCCAGGACAAATTTGTGCTGTAACTTGCGATCACTGGCCTCAGAAAGCCGTCGCTTTTTATAACTAACTAATCTCTTCTCCCCTGCTTTGAGGCGTTGGCAAATAGTATGACCAGACATTCGTTGTGGTCGCAGGGTAAGCTCTGCACTCTCACAGGGTCATCTGGAGCTCTACTGACGATCTTTTTTTCTGGTGCTTGCGTTGCCTCCGAGTGGATCAAACCCCGAAACACCAAATAGATCCGGAGATCAATCACGCTCCCGAAAAGCCTGCTCGCTGCATTGTGTGTGTGTGATTTAAATTGGACATCTCTTGATCTACTGATCCGCTTCGCCAGCCTGAAAACATCAGCTATATAGGAATCCCCAAACAGAATGCACTAGTGCTTGATGCAAAAACAAAGCTTCCACAGTGGTCGACGGTGGGAATGACCACACGGAACCGCATCGAAAGCAACGGCAAAGAACATAGCTTTTTGAGGTGGAACGCAACAAGGACTCCCCCGCTGCGCAACACACGACTGCGCAACAGAGAAGCGTGATCGATGGTGACCCCAAACGCGACCCAAAACGCCCTCCAAGGCGCTGCCCGGTTCTCGCCTACAGCGACGAGGGCGTTCAAGGGCTGAAGTCCAGGTGGAAGAAGGAAGATTCATATTCATTTCATAATAGAAATGGCCTCCAACCTAGTAGCAATGGCTCCACCGAGGTGAAACCCAGGTGGAAGAAAAAGTGATCCCAAAGAATAAAGCGATGACTTGGATTGTGCTGTCCAGCAATTGGGCCCTCAGTTTCGAGGAGAGGATTCGCCCAACCAGGAAAACAGAAGTCTTCCGATCGCCCAACTGGGAATCATGGGGTCAGCGACAGGTACCATTTACCAATTCATTGTACACTTGGGGGTATCCCCTCTATTAACCAACCAAGCAAACAACGAACCAATAGTGCTAGTGTATATGGACTCAACTGCAACTGTGAAAGCGCGCACCTTTGGACACACTTCAAAGTCGATGATGTGATCGGGATGAGAGGGCAACGGTCCAAGGAATGGGAGACACGATGTGCTGAGACCAATGAAACGGGTGCATCAGATAAGGCATCGGCCAAGCAGATCAATGGCAAATCACGGCAAACACCTTCAAAATTGATATTGCCGATAACTCTGTGTTCTAACAATAACTTACTGTATAGATTGAAACTCAGCAACTTTGACCAAGCATATGGAGCTAGCTAGTATTGGTATAATAAGTCTTCCTACAAAAACGAACCGAAAATCCTCCACATCCATCACTCCGCCAACCAAACCCAGATCGGGCCTGAGCTCATGTTCTGCCAGGCGAAGCAGGTGGCTAAGACTGCCGTGGTCATCGTCTTTCCAGTGCCCGGCGGGCCCTGCGTGAGTTCGCGGAAGGACGAGCAGCGCCGTCCTTTCTCCGCCAGCTACTTCTGACCACCCACCCCCTGTCGCTACCTAACGCTATAGCCCTTCTGGCCATCCGCCATCCCGGCTCCGCGCCAACCTCCGCAAACCGTCCGAAAACCGATGCACGGACCTGAAAGCCATACCCCCCCCATACCACCCAGAGCCCCACGTGCCCTACACCGCGCCTGGACTTGTGCCAAGGGATGCCGCAACGCATAGTGCACGGCACGCCGCCTCGGCACCGGAGGTCAGGCTTCGGGCGGTGCCCTCGTGCTCGGACCGAACCGTGCTCGGGACCAGGTCCGTAACGGTGGACGAAAAGGACCCCTGCCGGCCAGGGCGATGGCGAGCTGCAGTTAGTCACGAACTTGGTTTTTCGTTCCGCTTCCAAAAAAAAGGCCAAAGGCGGCCCAAGTCGTTGTTGCGTGGGAGAAAGTGGCTGTTTCCATACCATGACGGTTGCAGGAAGTGCTTCAAGGCCAAAAAAAATGGCCGTTCGAGCGAACATGCACGGCATACCGAAGACAAATTTGTGTATGGGTTCGACTAGAACATACTAGAACCGTATGATATGTCATTGATTTCCTCGCCATTAAACCAATTAGAAAACAACTGATGCATGTGATTGAAGAAATATCCAGGAATGGCTTTCTCTATTACCCCACCCTCCCTTTTTTCCTCACAACCAGCCGTTTCCCTCTTTAAAATTAGGACTTGTTCGGATGCAGGACCAAAAAATGATTAACACCTGTTCTCCCGGAGCCCCTTTTGAGATCGATACTTTGCGAGGTCAGGCTGCCTTTAATGGGAATGCTAGTAGTAACAAGTGCATCGCTACTAGTAACAAGTGCCTTACTAGTAGTAACAAGAAGCTATTAATTTAATCTAAATGTTGCAATGAGTGCTACAATGCACGAAGGTCTGTCAGAAATGTTTGAGCAAGGTGAAGCGAGTGACAAGTCACGGTCCATGTCACGGATCAAGTGGCAAATAAGCTTATTATATAGTTGCATGACTGTACAGCATGGTGCTTGGCTGGAAAAGTGATTGAAGTTCTTGAAGCTTTTCACAGCACATGAGGAATTCGAGACCTCAAATAGGTGCACCATGGTGCACCCTCTGAAATTAGCCAAACCATGCCAAACCCAGACCACCCCAACCACCCCCTTGTTCCTAGTAGCTTCTTGCTACTAGTCCTACTGTAGTAGTGCCAGGAGCGCCCCTAATAGCGTCCTTGCTCCTAGTAGCGATGCCCTTTGTTACTAGTAGCTTCTTGTTTCTAATAGCTTCTT